TGGACTTCCGTTGGATGTCATGTGATACTGAGCCCTAAGGGAGCAGTATCATGTGATCAAATTACATACACATTATTATAGATACTATTAAACACCTTTGATTCTTAATCTGAATCAGACTCAGATGAATTTGTTATTTCTTTATCTGGCTCTAAGCCAGTTTGCTCTTCTATATATTTCCTATCCAGTCTACAGTTCTTTCAAGCCATTTAAACCAAGAATTAAGTTTATCTACTTTTATCATTAATGCTATAATTTCTCCAATAAAAATACTGGATTTTTTATCAATTACTGGAAATGCTTTTGTAAGATGATTGAGTTCTGATAACTTCATTAGCTCTTTTATCATGCCTTTCTCATACTGCTATATGTGCTATTAGATATTTGCTCTTGTTTGTATTCCATTATAGAGAAGTATTCTGTAATCAAATATTATTATACAAGAAAAAAAAATATATAATATCTATGCCTTGACATGAAGTTTAGCTTTCATTACCCTTTCTTCTGCTTTCTCAAGAGATATTTCAGATACTATCAGACGTTTATATAATCCAATTCGCCAATGTCCATATAGGAGAGTTCGAATTTCATCAAGCAAGATCCAGCGCTTATTATCATATGGATTTAACCCTATCTTATTTACTCTTTCCAGATATATCTGATGATCATAACTGCGGAGACCATACATATCATATCGGGTTAACTTCCTAGTTCTTAGACATTCTAGAAATTTATCATGTCGAAGCTCCCTTTTGACCACACATTTCTTAACACCCTTTGCCTTTTGAATGCCATGCTTCTTTTTTGGATCTTCAGAATCTGGGTCATCAGGAATTTTAGGATCATAACCTGCTGGAAGAACTGAGTACATTTTTGGTTTTAAACATACTGATTCGCCTATTGGATTTCCCTTTGTCTCATCCTTCATCAGGAATAAGTCACCTGAATAATCAAGATCGAAAATATCTGGCCTTTCTGCTCGATCTTTATATATATCTTCAGTTTCTATCCACATGATGAGCGAGTCTGTATCCGTATAAAGTAGACGGGCCTTATCTCCATAGCGAGGCTTTATGTAACCGTACCAAAAGTTGAACATCATAGCCTTGCTAATGTCGAGAATTGCCTGTCCTACATAGATTGGTTTGTTTAGAGTTACTGTACTTTTTAACATATGGACTGCTGTAATCCTCCCTTCGAATGCTTTAAAGCCTACATATAATGGTGAACTTGCTAGGCGCCTAATTTTTTTATCCTCTTCTGTTCGAAGCAATTTCTACTCTCATATGTTTACGGACATTTTCCATCTGTTTTCCGAAGACAGCATTGTTCTTTAGCTTATAATATATGACTCCAAATTCATCCCCATTTGCTTTGGCTATTTTACGTTTACGAATATTTTCCTCAATATATTCCTTCATCCATGGAGATTGCCGGAATTTTAAAGCCCTATGAATCTTTGTAACTTTCAATCCAAATTTCATGTATGTCTGAAGAGCTCGATAATGAACCACATAATTCTTTTTATTATAAAGGGTCTGAAGTAACTTCTCTCCAGACACATATTTTCCATCTCCAACTGCCTTGTCACGTACTAATCTTTCATTATACAAGCTAAGCCAGTTTTCTGACACTATTTGCTTTTCTGGCGCTAAAGGAAAATCTGCAAAGAAATCGTGCAAGTGCGTTGGGACTTCTAAATCAACTTCTAGTGTATAACCTATTTCTGCATTTGGCGCTATACTTTGAATATCGGGAACTTTCTCTGGACCTACCTTACCCAAGATTTCTGTAGGCATGTTTTGAGTCATAGCACCTGAATACATGCCATTCATATCCTCATATGTAACATAAGTCTTTGGTTTACTAGAATTATAGTTAGGACATTTCGGATTATTAGCTTTGGCATATCGATGACTTGCCATTGTTATCCCTCCTCGAATGCCACTCTCAACCATTAGATACTCATCCATATCTGTCATGAGCTTAAGTTCTGCTCCGCTACTTTTGTATAAAGAATCATTAAACATTCCAGGTGCTGAGACATAATGAGAGGGATCTAAGCTATCATCCTGCAAGCACATAATAGTATAATTCATGAATACATCAGCAAGCAAAAGTACGTCTGTTTCAAGATATAGATCATGATACTCTCCAAAATTCTTCATCTCAAATTCTTGCCATATATTTTGTGCATGCTCATAGTCTTTCTTACTAATATTTTGCTGGCTTAATAGTGAATAGAAATCCTTTCTAGGTGGAAGGCTTGTTTTGTCAAATTTTTCCCATGCATTTGTCCAGTCATATGGGAATACCCCCTTTCGAAAAAGAAGCTTAATCTTGTCTATTGAATAGCCTTTCTCTGTAAAGTAGTTAACAGTTAGGGGAAATTTTTCGATATTTCCTCCTAGACATTCTACTAACTTATCAAGACCCATTCCCATATGCTGAAAGCTATCTAAGAAGCGAAGTTGTCCTACATCCATGGCTTTATACTTTCCTATATTTTCTGGAATGCATTTTAGCTTATCAGCTGTGAATTTGCTCACAACTTTCATGAGTGGATGAGAGTCATATCCCCGGAAATTATGGCAGATCAAAGGTACTTTTGTCTC